AGTTCGTGGAGGACTGTCTCCTGTGGGAGGGACCCCACGCTGGAGCAGGGGAAGAGTGTGAGGAGTCCTCCCCCTGAGGAGGAAGGAGCGGCAGAGACAATGTGTGATGAACTGACTGCAACCCCCATTCCCCGTACCCCCTGCGCTGCTGGCGGGGAGGAGGTAGAGAATTCAAGAGTAAGGTTAAGCCCAGGAAGAAGGGAGGGGTGGGAGGAAGGTGTTTTAAGATTTGGGTTTATTTCTCATTATCCTACTCTGATTTGATTGGCAATAAATTAAACTAATTTTCCCCAAGTCCACTGTTTTGCCCGTGACAGTAATTGGTGAGTGATCTCCCTGTCCTATCTTGACCCACGAACCTTTTGTTATATTTTCTCTCCCCTGGCCAGCTGAGGAGGGGGAGTGATAGAGCAGTTTGGTAGGCATCTGGTGTCCAGCCAGGGTCAACCCACCACAGTTACCCAGATTTTACCCTTCATCTTCGTTTCTCTGTCCTTGCCGCATGGCTCTCTGCAGGCCCTACTGAGGCTACAGTCACCTGAGATAACTACCAGTAGTATCTGCTGAGGGGTCCATCCTTTCTTCAGGCTAAGGGGACACGTAACAACCTGTTACTCCATTTGCTGCTGGGGTTTTTTAAAAGCATCTCCTAGAAAGTGTGCCAGATGCAGAGGACTGGACTTAGCCTACAGCCTGGATGAAGGGTGAAGTACCTCTTGCTAATGGCCATTGAAGAGGTTAGAACTGAAGCATCAAGAGCCTGAGTCATTCTCCTCTGTGCAAACAGTGCAGAGAGAGAGCAAGAGCGAGAGCGAGCAGGAGCTGCTTTACGGCATCTCTACCAAGACAGGCTTTTCTTGGGTGATCTTTGAGTGGCTGACAGGGCTGGTGTCAGGGCCACTCTGTAACAACAGCACAATGCAAAGCAAAGCTAAATGTAGAGGTAAATCTGGGCCACTGCTTCTTTCAAAACTAAAACCCTAAGCTCTCCAGGCCTTTGGACCTGATGTTCTCGCTGAAGATGAAACAAACAGAGCAGCTACGAGGTTAGAGATCACTCAACATCTGTTCTTCAAAAGGAGCTTGGCAGCTGTGGTGCTTTTGTATTAGCAAGATGGATGTGTTTTGTAAAATGAATTACAGGCCTGTTCCTTTCTTTTTGTTCTGTATTCCACATCCATTTACCATTATTCAATTGGTTTTAGAGCCAGCCTGTGTCATTCACAGTGCCACCGAAGAGATGCTGTCTGAGCTTTTAGGGTAATCTTTATTTACCTCTGAGTGAAAGTCTTCTAAGTCTTTGCTTGTTCAGAAGTTTGAATTCAGACTTCAGGGTAAAACTGAATGTACTCACTGTACTAAGTTAAATAAGAGAAGCCTCATTTGTCACTGGCACTCATTACGGCTGTTATGTGGTGAAACTAAACAGATTTGCAGAATAAATCATAGAATCAGAATAGTTTGGGTTGGAAGAGACCTCTAAAGGTCATCTAGTCCAACCCCTCTGCCATGGGCAGGGACATCTTCAGCTAGATCAGGTTGCTCAGAGCCCTGTCCAACCTGACCTTGAATGTTTCCAGGGATGGGGCATCCGCCACCTCTCTGGGCAACCTGTGCCAGCGCTTCACCATCCTCAGCGTAAAAAATTTCTTCCTTATATCTAGTCTATATCTACCTCCCTTTAGTTTAAAGCCATTAAATGTCACTTTATTCTAAATGTAATATTTTATAAAAAAAAGGTTTCCATCTTAATATGCAATTCATTGTAATTGGTTTCTGAAAAGCTGTCATCATGAAGTGAAATCATCTCATACCAATGTCTGTTAATACCATTGATTTTCTTAGATGTAGAAGAGATCAAAATTCAGCTGTTAATATTAAGGAGCTTATAAGCCTTACCAACACTGTGGCTTATTGCAAATTATTATTTACAAACCTGGTTGTGATTTTTTCCATGAAAGAAGATTTAATAATATTAATGTGAACCCAAGAAATAAGAAAGAGACTCTTGCTATGTATAAAATATGTTTGTATCTTGTTGCAGCCAGACTTTCTCTCCCCTGTGCCCAAGTTCTGATGCAGGTAAAGTGAACGAAGGAACAATGTGTTCCCTGAAATGCTGGGAGGAAGCCAGCCATGTGGCTTGAGAGATCTCGCTTTCCCTCTCACTTTCACTCTAAGAGATCTCAATTTCTGTCTGTCCTTCAAGTTACTGGAGACCAATTAATAATGAAATCGAGATGCAGTTTTCCTGCAATTTTTACAAAATTTGCAAAGGAGAACTTTCTAGAGAAAGACACCCCGAGATGTAATTTTTAAGAACGTTTTTATTGGCTCTACTTTTCAGAGTTAGAGAGGATCTCTTGCTAGATTTATGTTTAAAATATTTAGCAAGCAGATGTGCGCTTACTCCATTCACCCTTTGGTGCAATCCCGGCAGCTGTGATAAGCACAGTACAGTACACAAAATAACAAATCCTGCCAACAGGCAGAGTGTGGATTTAGCACTAAGCTGCCATACCTGTGCAGTTCCTTGGCAGCCCTGAGAATGGGCAGAGTGAGTTGAGGTATGCCTGAAAAATACACATGAATATGGAAACTCCTTGTCGCCCCCAAAGGTTTGGGATCTGGAAAAGATTAATGGAACAAACTAGATTATAGCTAAATGATTATTCATTTCAGTAAAGATATGCCATACTTCTCCTAATTTATTTCATAGAGGAAAACTAATTACATTTCATTGAGTCATGGCAAAATACAACAGCTTTTATAATGGATAAATCCTATTTATTTCTGTCTAGAGATTCAAAACATTGTTTAACAGAATAATGATCTTTTGTTTTGGCAGAAACCCTTAAATACATGGGCATATGAGAAAGTTTTGTTTTCATTTTTAAAGACTATCAATGTCAAATAACTTTCTTTGGGGGATTTTTAAATTGTTACATTAAAAAAAATGGCTTTTCAAGAAATTAATTGGCATTGAACTATTGAAATTGCCCAGATATAAAAATGGAAATGAATTGCAAAGGGTGAGACTTTCTAGAGAGATTAGGAACATAAAACCTGACACTACAAGTGAAATTTCTGAGCTTTTTGGAATAATGTTAATAATTTCTCTTTCAGAAATTCAGAAAATGCTGTATACTTAGCACCCTAAGCCTTTTTTCAGGTCTTTCCTTCGTAAAGAAAAAGTTTCTCACAGAGAGAGAGGAAGCACTCTGTCCTTTAATAATGACGGTGCAGGGAGGGAGTTCACGTTGCTACTCTTTCTGTTGCCTGAATTGCTGCTGAACAGATAATAATGAACACTGGATACATTTTTTTTCTGGATTAGTCCTTTCACTTGGCTACCTGTCTCAAATTCCCTATTAATTTCATAATCAAGTTCATAATCGGTGGGTTGGACTGATTTCTGTTTGTAGATATGCTTATGTGACACCTGCTTGTAGTGTTGGAAATCTATGATAGTGTCCAAATATAGAGCCTGTCTGTTTGTTTCTCATACCATGATAGATCTAACCTTTTTTTTTCATGGGTGCACTGCTAAGATTTTTTTAAAAAACATAAATATGTTAAGAGATCTGATGAAAATTACGGCCTGTAAATTGCAAGCAGTCACGGGTTTGCTTTGCCTCTGCTTTTCAGCCTCTCACGTTATTCACTCAGTCCAACTTTAACTTTGTCTGCTTGTTAAACCATCCCCAGCTTTGACATGGAGCCTTTTCCACTGCAACAGACTGTCAGCCTTTCTTTATCTCTGAGCCTAGTAAGGCCACCAAAGAGAACATACTTTTTTCATACCTGGCTTATAGTATCTTAATTTTACTCTATAATATTATCTAGTGTTCATTCTAATATTCATTAATTAAGCTCAGAAACTATTTCTGAGTCTGATTATAAGATGCCTTGTAAAATAAAATACAATTGTCCTGAACTGTGCTGTTTCATTTGTTACTCTTACTCATAAAAAACTATCAAACATGGCTTTCTCTTCTTAAACCCATGCTGGTTAATGTTTCTCATGTAATAGACAGCCAGGTATGAAAGTAAGTCTAAAATGAAAAAATTTCCTCATAAAATGATGAAGCTTTGAATTGATGAACTTGAAATCTATGAAGATTTCTTATCTGGTAAACTAAACTGAGCTACTTGATTTGTAGTCCATGAGGAACCAAGAAGGGGAGAAAAAAGATCTAGATATGCATAAAAGAGGATCAGCTCTATTAGGAAAGGCAAAAATGATTCTGTAGTTGAGACTCAGGTGATCTGAATAGGCTTAATAACAGCTTCTTTAAATGATGGAATAAATATGTATTAATATATGCTGAAATCTATAAGGAAAAGGGGATATGTAGAAGGATCGGTATTCATAGTCATTGTGTGTCATAGAAGTTTTTAGAGGAACTACTAGCTAAAGTGCTAAAATGATCTAAAATGCATACAAGGTAATAATATATTATTGCCTTTGCTGCAGACCGGTCCAGAGATAAATAATCTATTAAGGTTTCTGAATATTTTCGTCTTTAATCCTGATATATCACCACTAAGAGCACTAGCTTTCTGCTACTGTCTGTATCACGGATGGAAGATTTATCACCTATATTTAAAGTGATAAAAGACTTTTGGAATTTTTTTTTAAGATGCCATGTGAATCTCAAAGCTGCTATTATGTCGTAACTGGATTAAGATATAGTAGCTTTTTTAAAGTCATGAATATTTTGATTATCAAGAAATATCTACAGATTAACAAAGCGCTGTCTATATTTGCAGACACAACCTTTGCTTTCCTCAATATATCTGCTTTTTTTTCTTTTTCTTCCCAGGGCACAATATAGAACTATGATAGCAACCGGAGGAGTCATAACAGGACTGGCTGCCTTAAAAAGGCAAGACTCTGCCAGATCTCAGCAACATATAAATCTTGCCACAGCACCAGCTTCTGAGGAGAAGAAACCAGTTAGGCGCCGGCCCAGGGCAGATGTAGTAATTGTCAGGGGCAAAATCCGCCTCTATTCTCCATCGGGATTCTTCCTTGTTTTGGGAGTGCTTATCGCATTCTTGGGAATTGCAATGGCCATCCTTGGATACTGGCCCCAAAAGGAACAGCTTTTAGGATCTGAAGATAATCTAACTGTAAATGAAACCCAGGTCCTGAGAAGCCAAGGAAGCATTTTACTTCGTTTCTTCGAACAGCATGTGCACTCCCATAAGATGAAAATGCTGGGCCCTTTTACTATGGGCATTGGAATCTTCATTTTTATTTGCGCAAATGCCATTCTGCATGAAAACCGTGACAAAGAAACAAAAATCATACACATGAGAGACATATACTCCACTGTAATTGACATCCACACCCTGAAGATCAAGGAACAAAAGCAGCTGAGTGGTGCCTTCGCTGGTTTGTTGGGGGAAGGAGAACTCGGGCACAGCAGGAGCTCTTGTGCGTCACGGCTGGCTGCAAACACAGTTGCGCCTTTCTCTGGCTTCAAGAGTAATTTTAGAATGGATAGTTCTGCTGAAGAAGATGAGATTACCCTAAATGAAGATAGGACCACTGGTAGCCTCCTGCCACCTCTGCTGACTGAGCAATCCGGTTCAGTCTTTGGACTTTACCCTCACTCCAGCAAGGCTTCAGATGACAAAAACACTAGCTCTATAAAGTGTGAAACAAAATCCATTGTATCATCTTCCATTAGTGCTTTCACACTGCCAGTAATTAAACTGAATAACTGTGTTATTGATGAGCCCAGTATAGACAACATAACTGAGGACTCGGAAATCACTAGGAGTCGGTCTAGAAATCTGTCGATGGATTCTCTGGCCATTCCGCTAACTGATACCAACGAATCCTACAGACCGGCCGCTACCATGCTGCCACGACACAACTCATTTGTGGACCCTCCATCTGATCAGTTCAAATCTTCTATGACTCTCGGACCAGGCACAGGAAAGCTTTTATCCCCTGGCACTGCCAGGAAACAGTTTGGGTCCAACACATCTTTGCACCTTCTGTCTTCACACTCAAAGTCCCTGGACTTGGACAGGGGTCCATCTACGCTCACTGTCCAAGCTGAACAAAGGAAACACCCCAGCTGGCCCAGACTGGATCGGAGCAACAGTAAAGGATATATGAAACTAGAAAACAAAGAGGACCCAATGGATAGGTTACTTGTGCCACAAGCAGCAGCCAAGAAAGACTTTACTAATAAGGAAAAGCTTCTTATGATATCAAGATCTCATAACAATTTGAGTTTTGAACATGATGAGTTTTTGAGTAACAACCTAAAGCGAGGAACTTCTGAAACAAGATTTTAATATTTAAATTGCAATTTAGAAGATGTCATATGGTATTTTTTAAAAAAACATTTTGACAAGTGTTTCCTTTTCAGTGAGACTAGTGCAAGCCTGTTTTTAACCAAATGCTTAATAGCCCATTAAAATTGGCTTGCGTGAACAGAGGTCTTCATGTTTGTAATGCCAAGAGTTTTTTGTCTTAGTAACATACAGCTGCAATACTGTACATTATCATTGCTCAGAGAGTTTTGGTACAACTGATTCCAATTTTTCCCCAGTCATTATTTCTTTTGTTCTATCTAAGCATGTTACTTTTTATCAATTTGACTCCAGAAGCCTGCATTAGGAAAAAAGCTCCATTTACCTGTAAGTTCTGTTTATTTAATGACTGCAAGAGTCTAGAAACAGTGCTTGTGGTCTAGAATGGAAAGTGAGCAGGAGCACAAACTGGAATTGTCAAATCCAGGCCTTTATCCTAGGTGTTGTCTTTCACATACGGTACATCTGGGTAACTGCAGTCTTGCCATTGTCATTGTGAGAAACTTGTTTACATATTGGGGTGGGTGGCTAGAAAAGAGTGGGTATAATTAAAACCATTTTTGTGAATTCATTGTAATTGGTCGAGTTGAATACCAGTGTTGTGAATTATTAACTATGCTTTGTACAATGATCTGTCTACATCCATTGTAATTTAATCCTGTAATTCTGGGAAAACGTATATAAAGTAAGAAATCTGAAAATTCTTCTGGGATTAGTTCTCTAAACCACTTTGATTGGCAGCAGTTTTAAAATGAAAATATACAGATTAAATTAAAATCATAGGAACATGATGAATGCCAACAGGATTTTAGAAACATTGTGTATAATAAGATGATATTGTGACATGCATCTGAGGAGAATAATGGAAAATGAATATATTGCCTCTCATTACAATAGCAAGAAGCTAAATAACTAGATCTCTATGTTCAGACTACTGATACAAAGCATACAATTCAATATGTGTACTAACATGGTATGAAAGCCCCTTGCCTAAATCTTGATTTATATATTTCACATAATTATTGGTGTGATGGTTCACTGGAGGCTTAGCTGTGGCAATTTGCATTACAAGATTTTGCAAAAGGAAGTGACATTTAAAACAATGTTTTTCTCAGCAAAGCAAGCTTCACAGTTGACAGTTGTAGGCTATTGCTAAAGAAAATGAGAATTTGAATGTGCATACCAGAAGGTTTTCATGTATTTCATTAAGGTATTTAGGCCGTGATCCTGCCATAACAGCCATGCTAGAGAATGTCACTTCAAGCTGCAAGGCTCACCTAACAGGATGTTGGTCTTAATTGGTCAGTTTTGATATATTCACTTAACCTAAATACTCAGGAATTATTTTTAATGGCTTTTCCCAAAAAGAATCAAACCTGTTAAAATGTTGTTGCTCTTCAATTACTTTGATTATGAAAGATCAAAGATAAAAATACCCTCTCTTTTTTTTTAATATTCAGCTCCATATTTCAATTGTGTGACATTTACATATCGGGAGCATTACTTGCTCAGTGAATTGAGGCATAGTGTTATCTGTTAGAACCTCAAGCCTATATATTGTAACAGAGTTGGCTAAATATTTTGCTATGAAGCTTTTAATAACTTTCTGGTTTGTGTTCTTAAGACATTTGCTATTTTTTGAAATAAAATGTCTATCTACATATATCCGTTGTAAGACCTGTTTTTCCTCTATGATCTCAAATCTTCCATATCAAAGTATAATTAGATATCATAACATTGTGTATAACATTGTACTTAATATATTAGCCTGCCACTAGATATTTGGCTATGACTAATTGATTTCAGTGACATCCCTACACATGTAAAGGCTGAATATTTTTTTTTTCCATGTAATGTGAAATGTATTCAAAGTGGTTTTGATACAAGGAAATTTTGTATAAAAAGAACATCCTGTTCTTTTTAGTTTGGCAGTAAGTATTCTTATAAAAATGGAAAACACTATTAAAGACATGAATGATGTAAGCTTTTATTTCCTTAATAGCTACATTAAATCATAGCTTAAAAGACTCTTTTTTGGGTACCATCCTATGTGGGAATAATGGTCCTTTTGTAAGTATAGCAGGGCATGAGCTTTTAATTTTAACATAGATACCTGGTACTGAAAAATTTACTCACTTTGGAAAAATTTACTCACTTGGGAGACCGAGATAAAGCTACTGACTTAAAGCAAGAAATCAAAATAGCACCATACAAAGAAACTCTGTGGTTGACAGACTAACTACAAAAATATTCCCAAAGTACCCCAAAATTGAATTATTTCATTCAGATAATCACAGGATGGTTGAGGTGGGAAGGGACCTCTGGAGGTCATCTTGTCCAACCCCCCTGCTCAAGCAGGGCCACCTAGAGCTGGTTGCCCAGGACCATGTCCAGATGGTTTCTGAATAACCCCAAGGATGGAGACCCCACAACCTCCCTGGGCGACCTGTGCCAGTGCTTGGTCACCCTCACAGTAAAAGAGTGTTATCTGATGTTCAGAGGGACTCTCCTGTATTTCAGTTTGTGCCCGTTGCCTCTTGTCCTATCACTGGGCACCAGGCTCTTTTCAGAGCCTGGCTCCTACTTTTTTGCACCCTCCTTTAGGTATTTATACACATTGATAAGATCCCCCTGAGCCTTCTCTAGGCTAAACAGTCCCAGCTCTCTCAGCCATTCCTCATCGGACAGATGCTCCAGTCCCTTCATCATCTTCACAGGACTGGCTCCAGTATGTCCATGCCTCCCTTGTACTGAGGAGCCCAGAACTGGACCCAGCACTCCAGGTGTGGCCTCACCAGTGCCATGTAGAGGGGAAGGATCACCTCCCTTGAGGGTAATGTAGGACCTTGCATCCTTCCATATTCCTTTGGTAGTTTCAACTCAAGCTCAAGTCAGGAAAACTTGTAGATGTTCAAAAGGCCTGAACACTAATCTTCATATATAGAAGTCAGAAACTGAACCCTTTGCAATACATGGAGACAGTTAGGAGCCTTACAGTGGCCAAAATGGGAGCCATGTACAGCTGGCAAGTAAGGAACTGGTGAAGACCAGAGCATGTCTCAGACTTAAATTGTATCTTTAAGGCATAAGTATCATATTCAATCTGTTACTGATCCAGTTCACAGACTTTTTATTTTTTAAATTTCATTTCCATTATCGATGCTCTGTGCAGCCCCACAATGAGTTGCTCTGGTACAACTGCAGGGTGAAAAAGAAGACAAAGGCAGGAAGTTTTAAATGAGTTTTGTCATCAGAGAAAATAATTGTATAGCTATACCACAAGCCTCTTCATGGAATAAGAAGCTAAACCTTACATCTAGCCAGAGGAAATGTTATAGTACTGCATCCTTTGTATGTAATAACTCCAAAAAGAAGTAATTTAGATTGTGCAAGCAATGAGTTTGCTCCTTCCTCTGCCTAAGGCTATTAAAAACCCCACATTTGTAAGCATCTTTATCACTACCGCTGGATTAGACTGATGCTAAGGTCTGTCCCTCCCTCCTGGGCAAAGCTGTTTCACTCTGCTCATTTATTGGGCAAGTTTGATCAGAAAATAAAGAGCATGACTCTGCAGTGATAGAGCAGAAATGCTGGGTTACATTGTCTCTTCCAGGATTGCTTCTGTATTTTACATGAAATGGTCACTGGATAAAATCTTTGAAACAGGGACTGGATTCTTGCCCGCTTGATATTTTAACTACGCCCCTGGGGAGCCCAGCTTACTCTCCCTGTGAGCCAATGAACCGAACCCTTCCACGCAGAGCAGCGCGGAGTTCGGCAGGAGGGACTGGCAAATGCTCCAGCTGCTCAATTGCCTATGGCTTAATGGATGGGAAGGTGTTGGCACGGGTTTTCTCAGCAGCAGCGAAAGGACTTTGGCATGGTGTTACCCGTCCTGATGGCTGCTCTGATGCTTGGGCTGTGTGAAGGATGGAAAGGCGAGCCGGCACTGCCAGTCTGGTTTTGAAGGAAAGTGAGATTTAATGTTATAATGGCAGAATATTTGAGGCTGCCAGTTTTGGAGGTAGGCATCTACATCTGTCCCACCTCATATATTAGACAGCTAAATAATTTTTTTTGCAACCATATCAGAGTGCCTTTCTCGGACCTAGAGCTGATTTTACTTATCCTTAAAATACAGCATTACTAGTCCTTTAGTTTCTGCTGAGTGAAATTTGGGAAACAGCTGTAAGCTACAGCAACAGTTTTCTCTCTGAAAAGCTTTTCAGGCAGCTTGTAGAATTCCTGGATTGCTTTAGTCTTACGCTCTTAAGTTCGTTCTTTCTATGAGTCTTTTCCTGACCCTTTCCGGGAGCTTCTGCCTTCATCTTCCCAGCACTACCTTCTTTTTTGTTAATTTTCCTACCAAATGTGGCATTATGATGAATCTTTTAACAAGACTGTGTGCATGTATACATGAGAATGCAAATGGAATAAATGGTCTATTATAATGTAGGAGTGCTTCAATGAGTATGATTTAGCTACTCAAGGACAAGCTCATGCCCTTTGTTTAAACCTTTTAAATTAAACTCAGGAGCAAATTAATTGCAGTTATCACAGTTACCACATGTTTAACTTTCAGGTGACATTTATTAACTCTTTCATCAATATTCTATGTACGGCAATGTTGAGTGGTTTCGTATTTTAGGACTCACTGTTTCAAATTAACCTCACTGGAGTATTTTATGCATTCAGCAAAGCCCAGTTTTTAACAGTATTACTTGTCTGAATGACAGTTGGCAGAATTGCAATCCTGAGTCTCATAAAGAATGGAAATCTGATGGTTACAATACTTTTATTTTAGAATAGTTTGTTGAAACTGAAATATAAGAACCCACTGTATTAAACAAAAAGCAGTATGTCTAATCTGTTGTCTTGGTTCTAATTCAGGTAGATAATGCTTTAGAGGAGAGTAATTTACAATCACGGTGAATTGTCCGTAGGAAGAATTATAAAACCATTGTTGTCCCTTATCAGTTTTT